ATGATCTTTTCTTGCATCTTTTCTATGGGGAGAAGTTTAATAGGCCTTACCTACTGAATTCAAGTGAAGAAATAAAAACTAACTATATCCACCTGGAAGACTGCCTTTCTTGTCCCATCCTTCAGACCCACAAGGGAAACACACCGACCACCAGCTGCAAATCACAGCTATCAAATGTTTACCCAAAAGTTTAAGTCCATGAAATGAAGAAAATTTTACTGTGGAACTTCACTCACAGCCATAGTGGTAAAGGGTAGTTCTCATGGCAGCAGCTGCACATTTTATGTCATGAAAGACTCGTATGGAAGCTTCCTTGGATTCCTGGGCCTAACCACAACTGTGGCAAATAAAACTGCTCCTCTAACCCCCCAGATAGCAGTCTCCTAGAAAAGCATGACATCTCTTTGATGATTTGAATAAAAAATTGCCAACTAAGTCTTCTCGTAAAAATAAATCCTATCCACCATGACCAACAAAAGACCATGGGAGAAAATATTTTAGCTAAAATGTCTAAGACTTGTCTGTGAACTCAATTCCCATGCCCTCTTATCCCTCAGCAACTGGACCTGCTCTGGACTTACGAATTCATTCCAACTCATGCCATACCCAAACGGGGAATTTCAGGACACTAGGAGGCCTCAAGGGTTGAACCAAAATATTAAATCAAACTCTCCACTGTGGAGAGACAAGAGACAACTCTGGAAAGGTAAGAGTAGAAGGAAAAGAGAATTGCTGGAGGAAGGAAAATCGTGAAAGTCATAATGAGCTTTACTTTAAAGCAAATCCAAACCACCAAATCTATCCCAGAACTTAAAGTACCCACATGGTATCTTACGAATCATGTGACACCAAGGCCTATACCTGTACAATTATTATACATCTTAAAGTAAGAATGGGGATAGCTTTTGGTAGGAGAAGAATAAGGAGAATTTTTTCTTGATATGGAAATTCAAGCAGTAAAGATAATGCCAGTGACCCAAAGAATTCCCAAAGATTTGCTCACAATAGTAGCAGACATTTTATTCTTCCTGAGACTGTTCCCAAATCACTGACTGTTGCCCTCTTCCAAAACTGCCTTCCATCCTACCCCCAATTCTGTAATTCTGAATTCTCTCCTTTATTTTTCTTTTCTTCTATTCCTTACCTCCCAGTCTATGAAATTTCCCTGTTAACTTCTGTATCCAGGCAAGTTCTTCTCATTTCTCCCCATAGCTCAAGAGCTCTACCTAACCTCTTCTTCCAGTTAAGACACCTTCCCACAACCCCCTGCATCTCTAAATTTGAATATTCCAAGACCTCCACTTAACATTGTCCAACTTCTCCTCCAAAATGGCCAGATAAGGGCCACCAACAGCATCCTCTACACAAATAAATATTCATGTCCCATCCAAGCTCTAAGACCCAATGGCCCTATATAACATTCTAGCCTCTCTTATTTTAGTGCAGCATAGAAAAGTGATGGGATTAGCACACAGGCTAATTAATGGCTACCTCCAGATTAATTCTTGATTCAATGAAAATCTAGTTCCAGCAGAGAGTCAGGAAGGGATATAAAAACAGGAGTTTCTCCTCTCTGCTTCTCAAAGGGTAAACAATTAAGCCCAGAAAAGACAAAAGTGAACCAGGCAGATTCCATTTTTGAGTGAATAATAAATAAGAAAGTAACTACCCACCGAGACCACTTAAATTTAAGAGTTGACTCTGAAACCTGAAGTTTATAATTAAATTGAAATTTAGCTTATTTGTTAAAAGTATTTTCCCAAATATGACAAAAATCTAAATAAGTGAATCTAAGAGGTATTTAAAAAAATGAGAGGTCATCTAGTCCCTAATTACTCCTGCTCAATAAATACTTCTCTTTTTCACTATCCCAAAGCGATGATCCAATTTTCTCCTGAATACCTCTAGTGCTGTTGAATTCAAGGCAACTTTATATTGAATCAACTCATTCCATTTTCTAATTATAAGAAAACTATTCCTTTTATTCAGTTAAAATCTGTCTTATTGAAGCTTCTACTCAGTAGACCCAGCAGGAATGGTGACTTCCATGATTCCATGCTCTCCTCTATAATAATATTACAAGATCCAAAGTTGGAAGGTCCCTCAGAGATCACCTAGTCTAAGCCTCTCATTTTACAAATTGTTTTACGCGACTCAATCACTTTTTGCTTTAAAAAAAGGCTTAGCAAAATCCTGTTGCGAAGGTGGTTATCAGGAGATCTGTGTAATATCTAAATCAGGGTTAGGGAACCTGCAGCCTTTGAGGCCACATGTGGCCCTCTAGGTCCTCAAGTGTACCCCTTTGACTGAATCCAAACAAATTCAAATCAGATTTGTTCTGTGAAGTTTGGATTCAGTCAAAGAGCCTCACTTGAGGACCTAGAGGGCCACAGGTTCCTCTCATCCCTGATTTTCAAATTTCTGTGAGAGAAAAAGTGAAACATATGATACTTAATGATACATGAAGGGACATGATCTGACTCTACCAAAGAATGAACTTTACTAGACTTGAAGTTTTTATTTGAAACTACATTTCACATAGTGTTATCTAAAAAGAATTGTCACCAAGACAATATTCAAGAAAACAGATTTCCTCTTAGGGAACTAACATTTACTCCAGTACAGGGCATCCCAAAAGTCTTAGCGCAGTTGTGCGATGCAACACTGCCAGGTGCTGCCAGAAACACCTTGGATTCATTACACGTTTGATTTTCAATTAATTTTTGGTCATTGCACATTCAGAAACCTCTTAATGTTGCCAATTTTTTTTCAATCTCACATGGGGTCACAACCCACAGTTTAAGAATAGCTGGTAAGCTATCTATTGTTTCATGAATGCAAGTGGATGTATCTCCCGATTCTGGGAAGGGAAAAGATCTCAAAACTCACTCTCCTCTTCCCAACTCAACTGAAACTCACTCTTTCTTCCGCCCAACTTGGAAAATTCATTATCTTTCTTCCTATTAGAAATCATACTACTTAATCTTGAATCCCGGTTTATATTCTGTTGTTTTCTTTTAATGCACATAAATCTGTCTTCTCCTGCATTCAGGGTCCAATGCCAAGCTGAGGAGGCCTAGTCCTGATTTGTTATGTAATTGGCATGCATTGCTTAATAAACCACTGTCCTCAGAAGCTCAAAGCTTTGTTTCCTCAGTTACTCAGATTTCACCTATCACATGAGGAAACTGAAGCTCAGAGATGCTAATAAGCACCTCATGAGCACAGGAAACATAAAAACAGGACCCTCTACTTTAACAGGATCGTCAATTTAGAGCTAGAAGGGAAGCTTAAAGATAAAGAAACTGAGTTTGAGAAAAGTTAAATGCATTGCCCATATAACTATTTAAATACGTGAGGCAGGATTTGAACCCACATCTCTGTGATTCCAGTTCCAGGGCCTCATGCACTTCCCCAAGTTGCTTCTGATTCTGCCTGAATCTGCCTTCCAGTTGCCTTTTTGAGGTTCATCAATAGTCAGCATAGCGGGACAAGGGAAGGGAGCAGGCTCTGAGCTAAGCAGGAGCAGCACCATGGCCTTGGAACAGCCTATACGGGAAGATGAGTGAGGCACCATCCGTACTCAGCATAGCGCCCAGCCCTCTCAAAGGAAGCCGCCTGGTCAGAAAGTTCCTACTCTTCTGGGAATCACCCCGCTACTATGGAGGCAGCTCTGTCCCTCTCCATTACAAACATCTTCCCAGGTCTCCTGGACCAGAAAGCCACAGGACGGTCACTCGGCTAGTAGGTATGAAAATGATATGCTTTGAGCTCACCATAATGCTTCATAAGAATAAGCTGTTAAATCTGTATTTTGCTCTCACAGAAATGCTCTTGTTTATTCCTCATAACAACCCATTGGAGTAAAATAGGACAAGTATTATTATTCTTTTTTTAATAGATGAAGAGACTAAGGCCAAGTGAGCTATGTGACTTGCTTAATATCAGGGCTGGTGCTCTATCCACTGCACTACCTAGTCACCTCTGCTTTTTTTTTTTTTTAAATCAAATTTCCTCAGGTAGGTTGCACAATGGTTAGAGCACTGGCCCTGGAGTCAGGGTGACCTGAATTCAAATTTGGACTCAGATACTTACTGTCACTCTGGGGTAGGTACTTAACCACTCTCTGCTTCAGTCTCCTCTACTGTAAAATGAGGATAATAACATCACCTTTCTTACAGGGTTGTTGGGAGCTTTAGGTACATAGTAAGCATCTAATAAATGCTTCCTCTCTTCCCCTGCGCCCTTCCCCTTCCTTTCAGTTTAATTACTAACTACTGTTAGTAGACTATTTCAGAGCCAGGGAGTCTTGAGTATCATATTAAGAAATGGAAACAGATCAAAACACAGAAATGCTGCTATTACACGTACATTTGATTTCTGTTACACGGTGAATGAAATTAGCTCAACCTATCTAGGCCAACAGCTAACATTTTTGTTAATCGTCCTAAAGCACCGCCATGATCATGTCACTCTTCTATACAAAAACCTTCTGTCATGTCCCCATTCCCTATAAAATGGCATTTAAATTCCTGATTTGGACATTGAAACCTCTCCCATGACATCACCAAGAAGGAATGTAGAGAGCAAACGGGGGGGGGGGAAACTGCGGTCTCTAGGCCACATGTGGCCCTCAAAGTCCTCAAGTGCAGCCTTTTACTGAATCCAAACTTCGCAGTAAAACTTGGATTCAGTCAAAAGGCTGCACTCAAGGACCCAGAAGGCCACATGCGGCAGGTTCCCCACCCCTGGAAGACAAAGCACTTGGCGACACCCATGCTGAGGAGTAAAAGCATCAGAATTGACCCACAAGGGCAGCAGTCATCATCCTGATGCTACCTATCCATGGCAGAGAAGACCTTCCTTTCTTTTATTTCATAAGGCGCCAAACATCTCTGGTCATTTTAAGGACACAATCTCTCTTCCCCTGAATCTACTAGCACAGCTTTTGGGATATATTTTCCCTCTAGCAAAACCAAAGAGACATGTACAAGTCTTACCTTGAAAGAAGCTTTTCACCCTGAGATAGCTGACGCTGAGACGTAAGACGGAAAGCTTGTCCAGTTTTGAAATGATGTCGGGTGGAAAAGGCAACAGACTGGCGAGGTGATCGAGCTCAGCATTCAACCGGTCTCGGTGCCTCTTGGAAGGATTGGACTTCTCATTCCCCACAGCCGGCCTTCTGTGGGAACACAGGCCAGGCAACAGCAGTTACCCTTTTCATCATGTGCATTCAGACATTAACTAGTCAAATGCAATGGGATAATCATTTAGAAAGTCTTTTTTTTTTCCCTAGAGGAAAAAGTATGTTTAATGTCTATCAATCCTATAGGGGGGAAAAAAACCTAGTCTTAGCGGTTCATCCTTCAAAGAAAGCTCCAGTTTTATAATAACGCAGGTACCAGCAGAAATGGGGAATGGTGATAACAAAAATCACACCCAACAGGAGTTAATTACTATGACCATGCCCCTTTGATCAAAAATGAAAAACACAGAACTACAATGATGATTTTTTTCCATCATGCCCCCAGGAACCTCACCATCCTTCCTGATCACTTCAGCCCTGGAGCTCACACCTCATAAGTACCCCTTGTCCCTGGGACCCTTTCCTCTGACAGGAAAGGATGGAGGCATAGAACTCCTCCCAAAAATTTCATTTAAGGAAGGTACCCTGATCAGTCACCTCTTAATTTCCCACCTGGCTACACTCCTCTAGACTTCACCATCCTCCTCCTCGCTCCACCCAAGCTAGATACCTTCCTTCCTTCTCTTTTTTCAGTTTCCTTTGGCTTGTTGTCTTCCTCCATTGGATTGTAAGCTCTCTGAGGACAGTGGCTTGTCTTCCTTTTTTCTGATTTTTTTTAAAATTCCCAACACTAAGCACAGTATTTTGCATGCAGTAGAAGCTTAATAAATGTTTCTTGCCTGACTGATTTAATGCTACACCCATGTCCTTGATGAAGGACTAATCTGAGAATTGTTTATTTGAACATTGTTTCTTGTGTTCTGTCAAATCACAGTTTGTGCTAATGTTTATTATGTTACTCAATGTCCCTTTCTAAAAGGATTCATGTGATACATTTCTTGAGTTTCTGGAAAAATTTCCTGCCTCAAAGTAATTTTATAAGACTTCTCTTTTCAGAAAATGAAAATTACATAATTTGATATATTTCCCCTTTTGCCAGAAAACTTAAATTCTAAGATCCCCTTAATAAAAGGATCTGTTCTGTAAAGTCAAAGGGCCTCACCTGAGGACCTAGAGGGCCACATGTGGCCTCGAGGCCATAGGTTCCCCACCCTGACTTAGAACTTGATTCCATATCCTAAAGCTTGAATGGACCTCAGAGACCACCTCATTCAAACCTTTAATTTTACTGGTAAGAAAACTGAGGCTCAGGGAAATTAAGTCACAGACGAGAGGGTTTCACCCAGGTCCTCTGACTTCTGAATGAGTAATATTTCCACTGTTCTATGCACTATTTGTTTGTTCTGCTTGACCCAGATGCAATAATTCCTAGTTAAGGCTCTACAGACCAGACTTGCATTCATTTATTAAATTGCTTGTTTCTTTGTTTGTGCATTTATTTATTCATTTTTTATAACCATCATCTTCCAAGAAGAGCTGAGGCAGCTTATAAGTTAAAATGCCATGCAAAATGAGACATTTAAGGATAAGACAGAATTGAGTCACTTAAGAGGAAAGAAATGCTCTAAGGCCTTCAAGACGAATCACTTAGTGCAAGTGGATACGGACATTCTCAGTTAAGGTAAGGGGTTGTGCTTAGAAGGGCTACCGTACAGAGAGGAAGGGAACAGGGAAGCTCACTTTATGCAGATATCTGGGAGCTACCTATTTTAGCTAATTATTCTCACCGACTATACACTAGGTTAGCTCTGTTGTTTCTACATTGCTGAAAAGCACTGAGAATAGTTACTGCTGCTAAAATTGGTACCCTGGAGCAAAGTCAGGACCCATCCTATCCTAATTACCATTCTCTTGTTCTGTCAGATTCCCAGTAGCTAATGACCAACTGTACTCTGTTGATACCCTGTTAGCTATCCTCACTAACCCAAGCACAGCAGCACTCAGCTTTCTGAATATCAGCCTTTCAGTCACCTCAAACATTGAGAACAGCCTCCAAACCAGAAATCTTGTAGAAAAATAAAATTTATTCATGAGAGTGGAGAAAATTTCTAAATTACAATGATAAAAACAGCTGTCAAATTATGCCAAACAGCTGACAGTTAACCTAGTGAATAATTTATACAACAACACTGCTTTGAAACCTAGAAGAACTCTGATCAACCACAATTCCAAAGGACTGAGTGAACTATGCTATCATCCTCCCAGCAGAGAGGGGATGGGCTCAAAGGGCAGAACAAGATACAATTTTTTGTACATGGCCCCTGTGGAAATTCATTTTAACTATTCATATTTATTAAAAGGGTTTTTTTTTCATTTGCAATGGTATTAGGTGGGAGAGAGAGGAGATAAATGCGTGTTGGTCGAAAAAGAAAAGCTGAAGATTATACTGCACATAATGTGATTAGTTGGTTCAATGGCTAGAGGGAAAGGAGCCCTCTCACTGCCCTGTAAAAGCCATTAAAAACCAAATCAAGGCCCTTGGCTGCATAGAAAAGAGACAAGAGAAAAGAAAGCAGAAAGAAGGAAGAATGTGACAAAGAGAAGAATTATTAAGATTAGAAATGGCAACAGCAGCAGATGTCAGAAGTAGTGAAAGGGCAGCAAGCCGACAGTACAGACCTGTGAGGATAAACTACAGGAATGAAAGAGAAGAACATTTTTAAAATTTTTTTAAATTAAAAAAAAGAAAGAGAAGAAAATTACAAGATCTCCGCAGTTTTGAGGAATGGAAGGAAATGGGGAGACTCCAATACTGGTACATCAACAGCAGGACAATCCTACAGTCTTTGATGGACAAAGAAAAGGAGTGGTACATTTAGGTAAAGTCCAAAAGGGTCCTTCGACAGCCTCACAGGACATCATTGTACTTATTTACAGTGTATGCAAAACACTATGGGTCACGATGAGGACCGCTAGGTGGCACCATAGTGCAGAGTGCCAGACCTGAAATCAGGAAGATACCTTCCTGAGTTCAAATCTGACTTTAGACACTTAACCAGCTGTGTGACCCTGGGCAAGTCACTTAACTCTGTCTGCCTCAGTTTCCTCATTTGGAAAATGAGTTGGAGAAGGAAATGGTAAACCACTGCAGTATCTTTGCCAAGAAAACCCCAAATAGGGTCACAAAAAGTTGGACACAACTGAAATGACTGAACAACAACACTGAAAGCATAATGATGAAAACTATTCTAAATCTGAAGTAATGTTGGCTGCAGCTGAGCTATGACTCAGCAAGGCGTCACAGCCTGTCCAATGAATCAATCAACACATCTCTACTGAGTACAACACACTGTATGAGGCTGCACTGTGATAATCATACCATGCATCTAGCACTTCACCTCCATTATTTAATTTGATCTCCACAGCAACCCTGTAATTTCACATATCAGGAAACTGAGTCTCCAAGAGGTTGTGACACAGCTAATAAACGTCAAAGCCAGGATTTGGTAGTTAGGTGGCACCATGCTGCACAGAGTACCAGGCCTGAAATGAGGAAGACTCATCTTCCTGAGTCACAATCTGGCCTCAGACACTTGCTAGCTGTGTGACCCTGAGCAAGTCACTTAACTCTGTTTACCTCAGTTTCCTCACCTGTAAAATGAGCTGGAGAAGGAAATGGTAAACTACTCCAGTATCTTTGCCAAGAAAACCCCAAAAGGGGTCACGAAGAGTCAGACATGACAGGAACAATAAAACCACCACAACAAAAGCCAGGATTTGAATTCAAATACCTCCTTGCTCTAAGAGGCCACATCTCCCTTTTAGTACACATTGGCATACTGCACTGGAAGTCTGAAAAACTTAAGTTTAAATGCTGCTTCTGATGCGTGGGTGATCCCATGCAAGTCATTCTCTCACTCTGTTTCTTCTTCTGTAAATGGGGGATTAAATGGGAGATTAATAATGGCACCTACCTCACAGAGTTGTACTTTTGAGAATCAAATGAGATAATGTATGTTGGGAGTTTTGCAAACCTTAAAGTACCACATAAATATGAGCTCATATTATTAGTAACAATAATAATGATAATAATGCCTACATAAGGGGCATCATGAAAATAATTGTATTTTAGAAGCCTTCTGACGGTATGGATCACAAACTTCATCTAATGAAAAGATCACAAAATGCCTTTAATCCTTGATCCGATGCTAAATGGAAAAAGCACAAGATCTGTAGACAGTAATACAATTAACTGAGCAGTCAGCATTTTCTGAGAGGAGTCTTGGCTGTTTCAAAGGTGTAGGGCTGGAGAAAGCCAATTACTAAATCAGGAAGCCACAGAACAATTTTGTGTCTATTTATGAACATAATCCATCCTCTACACAGTTGTTCAAGGCTCATGAAACTGATCTCTTCTGGTGAAGTTGGCCCAACTCCACTCTTGTAGGTGCTGTTGTAGCAAATAACCTAGGATTTGAGAGAATAGAGACAGGCTGGCTGTTTTCAGTTGTACTAACTGTTGTGGAACCTTTTCAAATAATATCAGCTCCTTAAAGGATAGGGATTGTTTCATTTTAAGCATTGTATCCCCACTGCCTAGCACAATCCCCAAAAACATAGCAGATGCTTAATAAATGCTTGGTGATTGACTGAACAACAAAAATACAGTCTCTGGTGAATGGAAAATGCCAGCGTCTGGGAACTTTCACATATTCATCTGTGGCTTACAGGCCACAACACAATGAATGCACAATTAGGGAACAGCTTGTTTTACGCTAGGTTGTATCTTCTCTTTATATGTTCAGGAACACATCATTTCAGAATTTGAAGATAGCAAAGTTCCCCTATAGCGGAACAGTTAACTGTAAAGTACACCCTAAGGAATCAAGGATTAATACCTTGTAATAAATATTTACCGTCTTTCCTAACTGGTAACTAATAAGATACCTCATTGATTCAATCTGTCAACAACCTCTGTGACCCTGGGCACATCACTTAGTCCTGTTATTCACAACAAGAAATGCTTTTACAGATGAGCTTTTGATTTATAATTTTTTAAAACAACGTTTCTTGAGCCTGAAATTCTGTTAAGTGAA